TCCAAGGTAGACCTCATTCTATCGATATTTCTCCATCTCCACCACTATGACTTGAGGCTCTGTCATCTCTCACCTCTACTCTTGCAGGAGCTTTCATTGGCCCCTGTGCTGAGCATTCTCCTTGTTGTGCTCAAATCCAATCCCTACCCTTTCCAGTCTTGTTCTACATCCCAAGGAACCATATTTCCCAGGCTCTCTGGCTTCCAGATAAATGCAACCACTGGGAGGCACCAGTGGGAGACTAGAGGGAGGGATGAAGAGAGAAACCAGGGTGTCTCTGACCCTCCATCCGTTTAGCAGGAATCCCTGGGCAGCATCCACACCTCCTCAATGGTTTTACCTCTATGATCCCAGCTCCAGCAGGGCAGCCCCAACCATGGTTCTCCTTCCTGCCAAACTGTTCCAGCTCCTGGGTTCTGATAACATCACCTCCCTACTTTGTCCATTTGGCCATAAGTAAAAAGAAGTCTCCCAATATTAATCATTTCTGGGTCACCTCCTTGTCCCCTATGTGACTTCTCAGCTGTTTTAACACTTGTGTAACCAGTTCCCCATATTAAGTCCCCTCTGTTTGAAACACCTAGACCAGATCTTGACTGATGCACTTCCCTCTGATTCATCTTCTACCCAATAGCCAGAGTAATCTTTCTAAGATATAAACTGAATCATACTATTCCTACTTAAAACCAATCAATGGCTTCCCATCACTTAGAATAAAATCCAAATTCCTCACCACCAGGTCCCTCAAGACCTGCCCCTGCCTGCTCTCCAGCCCATCTCACACCTCTCTCCCCATCACCCTGCCTGCTCTCCAGCCCCTCTGGCCTTCAGCCCGTCCTCCCACATGCCAAGCCTTTTTCTCCTCCAAGCCTTTGCACGTGCTGTTCCATCTGCCTGGAAAGCCCTCTTCTCTGCTCTCAACCTGGCTCACTTGCTTCTTTTTCTCCCGTAAGTGCAGCATAAATGTCCCCTCTTCATAGAATCCCTCCACCGCCACCCATGATCGTCCAGTATAAAGCCCATCAATGCCTTTTATTTTCTCTCCTAGCACCCTGGTTTGTTTACCTGTTATTGCCTGCTGGCCTCACCAGGTTATAAGTCCACAAGGCAGACCCATATCATGTTCACGGTCTTATATCCAGTGTATCCGTCAGAGTTCTCTGGAGAAACAGAGCCTATAGATTTATGTAGATATATCAGGGGAGAGTTATCATGGGATTTGGTTCCCATGAAGATGGAGACCGAGAAGTCCCAAGCTCTGCCGTGCTGCAAGCTTGAGAGCCAGGAAAATCAGTGGTGTGATTGAGCCCATGTTCAAAGGCCTAAGAACCAAGAGAGCTGATGGTGAGACTCCCAGTCGAAGGCCAAAGGCCTGAGAGCTAAAGAAGAGGAAGGAAGAGGTAAGGGGTGGAGCTGGTATGCCCAGAGTCTAAAGGCCCCAGAACCAGGGGTGCCAATGTCTGAACACAGGAAAAGGCGAATGTCCTAACTCAAGAAGGGGACAGAGAATTTGCCTTTCCCCCACCTTTTTGCTTCATCTAGGGCCTCACAGATTGGATGATGCCCACCTACACTGGGGAGGCCCGTCCACTTTACTCAGGGTATCAACTCCAAAAACACACTCACGGATACACCCAGAAATAATGTTTTACTAGCTACCTGGGCATCCCTTAACCCAATCAAGTTGACACGTGAAACTAACATCACAGCCAGCCCTGGACCTGGCACATATTAGACAACAAAGATTTGCTGAATGAATAAATCAACCAGTGAGATGATCTAGTTCAGTGGTCATCAAGAGGAGCTTATACAGCCCCACGCAGGCTGTCTTGGCCTGGGTGCTCTAGAAGCAGAAGATAATAATTTGTGCAAAAGTCATTTACTAGTGTGTATCCCCATGACAAACCAGCAGGCAAAGCCCCACTGAGGGCAACCTTGGCTCAATCCCTCATCTTAGAGTTGACCAGGTCAAAGGCGGGGAAGCTGAAACACTCATCCCCCACCCCACGCACCTCTCAGTCATTGGTTAAGAGCTTCCCATGTGGTGGAGAATGAACATAGATTCCCAGCAAAGCAAGTTCCGGCAATCTGAAGGCCATCCCCCACGAAGAGATGCAGGGGCTGGCATTTGAGGAGGGAGAGCACACTAGGGGATGATGCATACAAAAACGGTGAAGGGATGCAGGGATGCAAGTAGCACAGTAGCTGGGCTTGCTACAGATGCATTTGGAAATGTGTGGTGGTGCCTTTCAGTTTTCAGTAATTTGGGGTATGGCTGATATACAATGCCCAAGGACCAGGCATGCTCAACATCATACACTACTGGGCACGCTCGGTCCCACACAATAAAAAACTGTCCACCTCGAATGTCAGAAGCGCTCCAACAGATGAACACTCATCTGCTTCCAAACCCTTACTCAACAGAGCAGGAACTGAGGTCCAGAGAGGGAGAGCGACTTGCCCAGGGCAACACAGCAAGCAAGTCACAAAGCTGGGGCTGGAATGCTGGTCTCTTCACAGCAGCCCTGGAGTCTTAGTTCCCCTTGAAACCTAAAAGAGAACATTCTAAGCTCCAAAGTGCAAAGTCTTTTCTGGAATTCTAGAAGGGGGAGCCAATTCCCCCTCTTCCCACCCAATAAAAAACTGTCCCACCCCAAATGTCAAAAGCGCCCCAACAGATGAACTGGGGAAAATGAAGTGGAGAGAAATCAAACCTGAAGCCATCAGAGGCTGGAGCCAAAAGCAGATGTGCAAACAAAGATAAGGGAGACAGAGTTTTCACCAGACAAATTCACACCCTGCTCAGTTTAGACATTAAAATGAACTAACTTAATTTCATGCCATATGCAAATCCTTACCAGCTGTCAGCTCTGTAATCACAGGAGACTTAATGTAATAACTAAACAAGAACAAAAACGCAGCAAATACAGGCTCTGGGCAAGTCCATTGACAGCGGGTTTTATGTTCCCGAGAACTCAGCAAGTGCAGAGCGTTTATGGCGGACATCTGGAAGGAACTACGTGCCCAAATGCCTGCCATCTCCTTCACAAAAATGCCTGCAGCGATAATAAATAATGGCTAAGGACTGATCCGGCCATTGCGTCCCCTGATCTTCCATGTACTGTGAACACCTCCCTCTAGGCTCTATAGCTTTTCTCCAATTGTGAGAAGCCAGCTAGGTCCAGCCACCTGGACTGAGAGCTCAGAAGTAGCCAATAAATATCTCAGGTTTCCTGAGTTCAAGTCTCCCACCCAGAACCAAAGGAGTGGGAAGATGGCTCCTGCCTTATAGTAGGGGGCTCCTCTGGCCAGAGGACCCCACATTCCTCCAACTGCCCAAGGTAATAGTCCTAACTGCAAACATCAAATGCTTCTTACAGTGGGCCAGGAACCAAACGCACCACTTTCTGTGCATTATGTCAATGTTACCCAAAGTAGGGGGGATGATTTAAGGATATTCATTCATTCAGCAAACAGTTATTAAGCACTTATTACGTGTCAGGCACAGTACTGAGAACATAGCAGCAAACAAAAATCTCTGTCCTCAGGAAGCTTCATTTCTCATGGAACAAACATTTTTAAGTACAGTTATGATGTATGTTAGATAAAAACGCTTTGCAGCCAGGCACGGTGGCTCCATGCCTGCAATCCCAGCACTTTGGGAGGCTGAGGTGGTGGATCACTTGAGGCCAGGAATTTGAGACTAGCCTGGCCAACATGGTGAAACCCCCTCTCTACTAAAAATGCAAAAAATTATCCAGGTGTGGTGGCACACACCTGTAGCCCCTGCTGCTCAGGAGGCTGAGGTACAAGAATTGCTTGAAACCAGGAGGTGGAGGCTGCAGTGAGCTGAGATCGTGCCACTGCACTCCAGCCTGGGTGATAGAGCAAGACCCTGACTCAATAATAATAACAATAATCTCTGTACAGATGCTATTATTACCAGTATTACTGCTTCTAGCTACTTCTCCAGGAGCCACACCACATATTAGGTATCATTACTAAGAGGCCCTCTCTGCAGCTTCTGAGGTTGCTTCGCTTCCCTTCGAATCAGAGTGGAAATTGTCATTTGCTCTCCCTTCAGGTCCCAGCAGAGCCTCTCAGCTCCCCTCCCATTGAAAGTCAGAAGAGCCAGTACTTGAGATTGAACACTCTATTGCCTGCAATTAAATCCAGCCATATAAGGGGAAATGTCAAACAGCTAACCTTCTTGCCGCGCATTGAGGTCCTGTGGCAAGAGCATGCGTGAATACAGCCATAAACCCTTGACTTGTCCTCGCCTGGGAGTTTCTTTTTCTCAATTGACTTCCCAGGCTCAGTTGGAAGAATTCTGGGGACCACCCCAAGAAGCATGCTAAGAACAGTGAGGGGTAGCCACAGCGAGGGCTTTTATACGTGGAAGCTGTAAGGTTCAATAAGAAACTAATCAGCCCCCAGACAAGGTGAGCTTTTCATGCATAAACAAGTGTTCCATTATACTGGAAACACCTGGGAGGTTTGCGCTGTGTTCAGGCTCTGCACCAGGGGCTGCCGACAAGGGCTGCCCTCCTGAGACCATGGTGTGCTGGGGAGGGAGATGCGGTACAAGAAGTTGATACAAGAGCGGAGCATTCCGACCACAAAGACAATGCCCTCACCCAGGGTCTGGTGAGCCCCAAGCAAGAAGCCGAGACCTCTGAGATGAGCAAGACTTTTCTATGTGAAGCAGGAAAATGGGAAAGAACATTCCAGGTGAAAGGTCTCTGTGCAGCAGCCCTTTGGTGTAAAGAAAGCTGGATGGTGGGCCAGGTGGCTGATGCCTATAACCCCAGCACCATGGAGGCTGAGGTGGGTAGATCACCGGAGCCCAGGAGTTTGAGACCAGCCTGGGCAACATAGTGAGACCTCCCATCTCTAAAAAAATATTTTAAAAATTAGCTGAGCATGGTGGTGTGTGCCTGTAGTTCCAGCTACTCAGGAGGCTGAGGCGGGAGGATCGCTTGAGCCCAGGAGTTGAAAGCTGCAGTGACCTGTGATCGCACCACTACTCCAGCCTGGGTGACAGAGTGAGACCCTGTCTCTAACAAAAGAGAAAGTGAGATGGTCCTGGATGTGCCTGCGGCCCCGACTCTCCCGTGGATTTCATTGCTATGGGACACCATCCTGCAGCACATTGTAGCTGCTCACAAGCTATTCCTTGAGGGAGACTGGATACTCCAGGCACCCATGTTTTGTTCCTCCCAGAGTTTGAGAAACTCTTGGAGTCTTGGGAAGGACGACATGAAACCAGAGGGCAAATATTATTCTGGATAACAGTAATAATGATGACAACTGCTGAGATTTACTTAGTGTTTGATAAGAACTTCACTTACATCAGATCTTTTTTTTGAGACAGGATCTCACACTCTCACCCAGGCGGGAGTGCGGTGGTGCAATCATAATCATAGTTCACTGCAGCCTTGACCTTCTGGGCTCAAGTGGCCCTCCCTCCCACCTCTGCCTCCCAGGTAGCTGGGACTACAGGTGTGCACCACCATACTGGGCTTTTTTTTTTTGGAGACACAAGGTTTTGCTGTGTTGCCCAGGCTGGTGTTGAACTCCTCGCCTCAAGCAATCCTCCCACTTTGATCTCCCAAAGTGCTGGGATCACAGGAATGACCCACCACTTCTGGCCCCCTTATATCATTAATCCTCATAATAGGAGGATAAAGCAGGTCTTGTTATTGTCTCCATTTAAGAGAAGGAACAACTGAGGCACAGAGCAATGGTGACTCTTGTACGAGGACACGGGGTAAGGAAGTTGTGGAGTTTCATCATTACATCCCTTACGGTGGACCACATCACTCCTCAGGCAACTGCCTCACTGACTCTGATGTCAGCCAGATCCCTACAATGGGTCTTTGAGGCCCCAGGATCTAACGCTTCCAGGCCATCTTTCTGACCACATCTCCCACCTGCTCCCCCTCCCTTGCCCTCTCTAGCCCCCTTTGGCTTTCTTGCCATTCCATAAATACACCATGAGCTCCTGCCTCGGGGCTTTCACAAGTCCTATTCCCCCTGCCTGGAACACTCTTCCCTCCAGATGTCCAAGTAACTCACCACTTCAACCACAAGTCACTCATCATCACCCTCTTTCCCACTTTATTTTTTCCAGAGCGCCTGTCGACCTCTAATATAGTGTATCACTTACCTATCCTGTTTAGCATGTCTCTCCTCCACTAGAAAATAAGCTGTGTGAGGGCAGGATTTGAGTCTGTTTTGTTCACTGTGCTTTCCCAGGGCCCAGGACACGGTCCCAATGGAAGCTTGTTAAGCGAGCTCAACAACCACCCCTTTGGTCCCAATGGAAGTTTAACAAGCTTGTTAAACACCAAGGCACAGCCGAAGCATGCAAATGGTTAAAGTTTGGCAAAGTTTTCTGGGCACCAAGGCAAGAAGCCAAAACTGGAGGGAACAAGGAGGGACAAACAGGGGGTTTTCAGGGGTTGTCAGGCCAAATTACCAAGATGGGGAACCTGGGCTGCCAAGGGGACTATTACTTGTATTCTAGGGGACACAGCCCCAAGGACAACAATGGGAAAGAGAATGTCACCTTTTCTTCCAGCCACAGGGAAGACAACTGAACTATCTTCACACTGCAGGCCAAAGAGATGCTCCCATTTTCTGAACTTCTCACCCGGGAAGTAACCCATGTTTTACCTAATCCTAGACACCGATGTGCCAGAAATGGTCAGAATTCCCAAGTGTCAGAGCTCCCTCCAAAGCCACCCTTGCTGCACCTCAACCCCCTCCCAAAAATGTTTATCCGACCTGGAGCTGAGACGCAGAGAGAGCTTGAGGGTCCTGCTTATCCTCCTCTGGCAGAGCCCGTGGCAGGGTGAGCCGTGGCAGGGCAGCGCGGGGTGGTGGGCTCAGAGGCCTTTGCTCTGGGATCCACAGAACATCTAGGGAGGCATCAGCTGTTGCTTTTCCCCCAAATAAAGCCCAGGTGCTTCTTCAAGCCTCTCCGAGCTAGCGCTTCTCAAAGTTCATGTCAGCATTTCTTGAAGAGCTCCCAAGCCACAGATTCCTTGAGGTATTAGAGAGGTAGAGGGAGAGACACTCATTCAGAACACCTTTTTGTATACCTCTGACTACTAGAGCTCTGGAAATGTTTCAAATGCCCAGAAAATCAACCAATCAATAATTAAAATCTACCAAGATGTGGGGGCTTCCCAAAGTGAAGTCTGTGGACCAGCAACCTGATGCGCCTCACCTGGGAGCTCACTGGAAATGCAGAATCTCAGACTCTGCCTCAGAGCTGCCGAATCTCAGTGTCTGGGGATTAAGGCCCAGGAAACTGTGTCTGTAAAAACACAGGTTTTTATTTGGGGCCAGGTGTAGTAGCTCATGCTTCTAATCCCAGCACCTTGGGAGGCTGACATGGGTGGATTGATTGAGACCAGGAGTTCGAGACCAGCCTGGCCAACATAGCGTAAACCCTGTCTTTACTAAAAATACAAAAATTAGCCAGGCATGGTGGTGTACACCTGTAGTCCTAGCTACTCAGGAGGCTGAGGCATGAGAATTACTGACACCCGGGAGATGGAGATTGCACTGAGCTGTGATTGCACCACTGCACTCCAGCCTGAGCAACAGAGTGAGGCTGTCTAAAAAAAAAAAAAAAAAAAAAAAAAACAAAAATTTTTTTTATTAAAAAATTTATATATAAAAAAATTAGATCTAGAGTTTTTCTATGTCCTTCACTCAACGTTCCCTCATGTTAATATCTCACACAACAACAGTACAACTATCTAAACCAAGAAATGAACGTTGGTGCAATATGATTACTCTATGGACATTCAAATTTCATCAGTTTTTCCATTAATGAACACTTAATGGAAAAACTAATTTGTTGGACCATTTTCTGGTCCAGCATCCAGTCCAGAATTCCACATTGCATGTAATTCTCCTACAGGACCATAATGCAACCATCAAAATCAAGCAGTGAACACTGATCTATTGTGTTCTCCCCAAACCCCATTTCTGTTTCACCAGTTGTCCTAATAAATTTATTTCTAGTAAAAGAATACAATTCAGAATCAGCCACATACTTAGTTGTCATATTTCCTTAGTGTACTCCAATATGTAATACTTTTGTCTTTTATGATCTTGATAACTTTTGAAAAGTACTGGCCTTTTAGTTTCTAGAATTTCATTCAACTTGAATTTGTCTGATGTTTTCTCATAATTAGATTGAGTCACTGCACACCCAACATCAAAGCCCGGTAAGTCATCAGCTGCCACGTGTTGAGCTATACGCTTACCAAAATCAGTTGTATGCTGCCAAACCTGCTTACGCCAGTTTCACTTGTGATTGTAACTAGTTCAGTAGTACATAGTAGGATAAAACAGGAGGGAAAGGCCAGGCACAGTGGTTCATGCTTGTAATTCCAGCACTTTGGGAGGCCAAGGTGGGAGGATCGCTTGAGCTCAGGAGTTTGAGACCAGCCTAGGCAACATGGCGAAATCCTGTCTCTACAAAAAATGCAAAAATTAGCCAGTGAAGTAGTTCATGCCTGTGGTCCCAGGTATTCAGGAGAATGGCTGGAGCCCCAGAGGTCAGGGCTACAGTGAGCTGTGAGTGCACCATTGCATTCCAGCCTGGACAACGGAGTGAGACCCCATCTAAAAAAAAGGGGGGAGGGTGGAAGAAAAGTTGTTTCTATGAAAACTAAGTTACATCTTTTGGAAAGCCACGAGAAAAGCAAGCTTCTAAATAGAAATTGATGAAGAATTAGTTGTAAGATAAAGATGGGAAGGGGGGGAAAATTATAAAAATCTGGAAGGGTGTTCTATATGCTGCTTAACCAGTGTCTTTAAATTTTCATTACATTTAAAATTTAAAATTATATTCTCATTACATTTAAATTCTCATTACATTACATGAACCAAAAGAGGAAATCACCTGATTCATGTAGGAAAGACAAGGTAAGACTTCACTCAATTAACTCATTTATTTATCATTCATTATCCCAATATTAATATTAGACAATATTCACAGTGCAAATTGATATACAGAATACTAGTATGTGTAAGTTAAAAGATAGGATAAAATATTCATAATGTAAGGTTTCTGTTTCTCTATTCTAACCAACTTTTTCAACTAACCTTCTAGACACCAGGCAATAGGCAAATGATATTAGGGTGACCTCTCAGCTACACACAAGAACGCATTAAAACTGAACACTGACCAGACGCAATGGTTCACACTTGCAATCCCAGCACATTGGGAGGCCAAGGCAGGTGGATTGCTTGAGTTCAAGAGTTCAAGACCAGCCTGGGCAATGTGGTAAAACATCGCCTCTATAAAAAAAAAAAATACAAAAATTAGCTAGGTATGGTGATGTGTGCCTGTGGTCCCAGCTACTCAGCAGGCTGAGGTGGGAGGATTGCTGAAGCCCAGAAGATGGAGGCTGCAGTGAGCTGAGATCACAGCACTGCACTCCAGTCTGGGCAACAGAGCAAGACGCTGTCTCAAAAGAAAAAAGATGTGAGTACTAGGATTATTATTCAGCCTTTAAAAGGAAGGAAATTCTGACACATGTTACAACATGGATGAATTTTGAGGACTTTATGCTAAGTGAAATAAGCCAGTCATGAAAGGACAAATACTGTATGACTACACTTAAATGAGGTACTTATGTTACCAAAAGTCCAGGGGTTCCGCCTAGATTCTGCTGCTTTCTGCACAGAAGGCCAATACTGAGACCATGAATATTGCCAGGAAAGAAGGCTTTATTCAGGTGCTGCAGACCAAGAGATAGGAGACCAATCTCAAATCCATCTCACTGACCAACTAAACTCAGGAGTTTATACAGCAGGAAGAAAATGTAACTACATGCAAGAAAACAGGAATTAAGGAGGAATAAGGAAGAGGAGTTGGTCAACAGGAAGCAGATCATCAGTTAGGCAATCATGGCATCTCATTGTCCAGATATGGTGGCCTGGTGAGTTTCAGCTCCTTGATCCTATCTGGGAGGCCTGACGGTTGGTTTCCAGAGAAAGGAACTCAGATAGGACAAATGTAACTTTTTCACGCTTTAAGACCAGGAGAATCAATTTATTTGTTTATTCGAAGAAACCGTAAACATCAGTTCTATGGGACAATTGGGCCGGTTTCACTTAGCATAGTTAAGATCATAGAGAAAGAATGTACAATGGCGGTGGTCAGGGGCTTAAGGGAATATGGATGGCAAGTGGTTGTTTAATGAGTATGTAGTCTCAGGTTTATGAGATGAAAGAGTTCTAGAGATGGATGGTGGGGATGTTTGCAAAACATTATGAATGTATTTAATTCCACTGAACTGTACACTTAAAAATGGTTAAGATAGTACATTTTATGTTATGTGCATTTCACCACAATAAAAAATTAAGGAGGGGGGGCGGTAAGGGAGTGCTAGAGTGTTTACATCCCATTATATAGGGTGTTCCGGCAGGATTTCAAATAACACACAAACTTCACTGCTTTTCCTGTATTTCCATTGACATGGGTTCTAGACAACCTGACGAGGTAAAAGAGACAGTTTCCCAAAGGTAGGGCTTTTTGGTTCGGTTTGGTTTGGTTTGACAACTGCATTTGTTGTTGTTGTTGTTAAAGCATCTGTTTCCATTTTCTTCTAATCCTTTCCCTGAGATTACCTGAGTAACTTTAAAAATATGGAAAAGCTACCATCTGCCCTGGAAAGAGACAATACTACTTGCCAAGCCCATACAGCCACAGACCTGCCTGTCATATCTTGCCTGCACATAGTAGGATATTAACATATGTTTGCTGAATTAATCAATGAACAAATGAAAGTTTCATTTCTTGGCTGTAAAAAAGAGAAGAAAAAGCCACAGGAAAAGTTGGGAAAAAAGAAAAGGGAAATCCGAAAAGTTACCCCAGTACATGTTGCGTTACTTGGGTTGGAAGTTGTCTGCAGAAGACAGAAATCATTTTAGCAGAAGTTTCTTCATCAGTTGCAGCCCCATGACCAGCTCAACAGGTCTCAGGGCAGGTGGCTAGGGATTCACAATCAAACCTCCATTCCCAACCCTAGCTCATTGCCCCCTTATTTGGATACAGTAATGGTGATCAAGCCCCTAGCTGGTAGGCTCTTGCTTCTTGGGAAGCTGAGAGCTGATGGGAACCCTGGTCAAGAGATCCCACCATGGAATGCAAATTAGTACAGCCACTCACATATATTTTAAGACTATTAGAAAAAAAATAAGGGTCTTTCCTCCTGAAATTTCCCTCTCTCTCAATAGAGAGAGAGCCATTTTTCTTTCTCTTTCTTCTGCCTATTCAACCTCTGCTTCTAAACTCCTTGTGTGTGTCACTGTCCTAAATTTTCCTGGTGCAAGACAACAAGCCCAGGGTACACACCCCAGACAACATAACCACTTCATACTGAGGACCTCGTCCAGGAAAGCAAGGTACAGCATTCATGGAAACGCAACATCTGGTGAAGGCAAACCAGTGTTACAACCCATCAGAATGGCTGACAGCAATCAAATTCAAAATGATGCTACAGACAGAACCACACATGGACACGCCTTTCTTTCAAGGACCCTGAGATCAACCCCAGGAGGCGCCCTAGCTGCTGTTCCCCACACAATGCCACTTTTCAGGAGAAGTAGCCAGAAAGAGTCATCATCCAACACCCCCTAGCAGCAGTTAGGGTTACAATTCCAGAGGGGGGAATGATACAGGAGTTATGAAGAAATGACTTAGGCAGATAGGGTGCAGAAGTCCTCAGTAAGGTTTCCCTTTTAATGAAAAGCAACCATAAATCATTTTCCTTTCTAACAAGGAGCAGCCAGTAACATCAAGCTGCAGACATAGATGCCGGCAGTTGTGCCAATCATGCTCAAGATGGCGGCTCCATCGCCCCTTCTCTTTGTCAGTCACATGTACAGTAAAGAGCAGAAGAAATATGGGACTATGTGAAAAGACCTAATCTACGTTTGATAGGTGTACCTGAATGTGACGAAGAGAATCAATCCAAGCTGGAAAATACGCTTCAGGATATTACTCAGGAAAACTTTCCCAACCTAGCAAGGCAGGACAATATTCAACTCCAGGAAATACAGAGAACACCACAAAAATATTCCTCAAGAAGACCAACCTCAAGGCACATAATCGCCAGATTCACCAGGGTTGAAATGAAAGAGAAAATATTGAGGGCAGCCAGAGAGAAAGGTCAGGTTACCCATAAAGGGAAGCCCATCAGACTCACAGCAGATCTCTCTGCAGAAACCCTACAAGCCAGAAGAGAGTGGGGGCCAATATTCAACATCCTTAAAGAAAAAAACTTTCAACCCAGAATTTCATATCCAGCCAAACTAAGCTTCATAAGAGAAGGAAAAATAAAATCTTTTGTGAACAAGCAAGCACTCAGAGATTTCATCACCACCAGGCCTGCTTTACAAGAGCTTCTGAAAGAACCACTATAAATAGAAAGGAACAACCAGTATCAGCCTTTCTAAAAAATGCCAAAAAATAAAGAACATTAACATGATTAAGAAATTGCATCAACTAATGGGCAAAACAGCCAGCTAACATTAAATGACAGTATCAAACACACATATATTGTTATTAATTCTAAATTTAAATCGACTAAATCCCCCAATCCAAAGACACAGACAGGCAAAAAAAGCCAAGACCCATTGGTATGCTACATCCAGATCCATCTCACATGCAAGGATACATAAAGACTCAAAACAAAGGGATGGTGAAAAATTTACCAACCAAATGGAGAGCTAAAATAAATAAATAGAAAGCAGGAGTTGCAATTTTTGCT